GAGGGAGCATACATCATTTACCATCCCCCAACGGAAAGAGGAAGGTGCACTTCCTGCTTGATTTCTCGTCTCGTCTCTCCAAATCCCCAGATCATTAACTACCTACTATTGTTTTTTAATGTTATTTTCTCTTCTAGTTCCTAGAGAAGCACAGAGCTTCAGACGTACGTCTCGAGCAATGGGCTGGCATGTCACTCGATGGCTTTATCAGAGTGTGGCCGGTCCACATCCATTTCTTCCTGCATATTTATTGCACGATTTGTTCCTACTGGGTTGCACAGATCCCTGTTGCTGATCTTTTCTGGCCATCTGATCTTGAGCACTGAGCGAAGAGAGCCGTCGATGAAGGTTTGTAGTTTGAAATCTGAATCACAGATCATTAATTACCTTTGAATAACGCTAAAGTTCATGGATAGTTCAATGGGTTATAAAGACGCCACAACAGCCTCCCTGTGGAAGAGGAGTCTATAAGAATGTCGGTCCGATTAACATTTTTCGGGAAGACAACTCTAGGGAATCCATTTTTGTGGATTCTTTTCTCTTGGGTAACGCACATTCAAACTCGGTTAGGACTATGTTGTCACTGGGCAAATGGCAAATTTGAGCCCTCCGAATATGAAAATACCGAGTACTAGTGGCACATCTATACACAACTGATGAAGGTCGTTTGCTTAGCAGTCCAAGCACGGCAGTATTACCGTAATTCGCAAACCATTTGCCTATATTTCCTATGAAAGCTCATGAACTAGATTGCCATAGATTGCTCATATATTTTCTTCTTTATACGATATAACAGTATATCGGTTCGAAGCGAACCGCTTTCTAGAGTTCATCGAATGTCGTTAGCAGGGCTTTCTCGATTCTGTCCTTGCAGGCACTCCTACATAATTTTGCTTCGAAGATGTGATTGGTTCAGGGTTCATGTGCACAGTGGACACATATATCAGAAGCAGTAGCATGATAGCATAGTGAACCCATGCATACCTATTTCTAAGCATCCAAAGTACGACTTTGTACTGCAGAAAGACAGTTAGTTACGCTGCTTGAATGACTTTGAGTTCGCTTTTGATCAGCTTCAACTGAAAATAATGTTAATAATTGATGTGTGACCACCTGTTCAGCAAGATCTGCTCGTTGGCCTTGCAGTCTACTAGCTCTTTAGCTTGGCTCAGCTAAAGCAGTGGTATGCCGCCCTTAACATTATCTCCACCAGTGGACGGAGAATATGACAACTGCTGCCGTTCAAGGATGTATTTGTTAACCGTAATGTGAAGAGAATAATATCTTTATGCATTATTGTTCCCTTGGGTTCTGAGTGGAACAGAAGGCTTTAGCAGCACGTCCTCACCATTTCCTATTTTCTGCAGTCCTCTCTGGCTGGCCCAACGATCGTCCATAAAAAGATCATAGGTGTACACAATCACACCATAATGCAGCAAACACATCCTCGTCCTATGAAGATCCCATTGTTTGCAATGTGGTTCTATTGAATCGATGACCCCCCTTGACTTACTACAATGGCATAACTGTCCTGCTGTTTGAAAGTGACTGCCTTGTCTATTTCTCATCCATAGTGCCGGTGCCATGGTTGTTTTTCGTCAGGGGATATTTACCCGATATTTTCCGTTTTAATGGATTAGTGACTTGCGATCTCATGTCAAGCCCCGCAGCTGAACAGGCCACACGTAGAAGAGGACCCAGTATTAAAACAGCGGGCAAATGCTGGGTGTTTTGCGGGAAGATTCACTTGAAGAAGTGCCATGAGCGAGACTGCTGGGTCTGCACTGGTGAAGTAGGACTATACCTAGCTCTGACCTGCGAAAGGGTGTTGACTCACCTACCTCAAAGGACCCTTGTACTATAAAAAGAAGGGGGCTATTTGGTTAAGTTTCACCACGGCTCGAAGAGTTCCCCTTTGCCAACGCACAAAATAAACAGTAATAATGGATTTATTCCAGACAGTATACTGATGCGATGTGAAATCTTAATCATGTAACAGTCGCTACACATGATGAAATGTCAAGTTATGCTCGGAATTAACGTTCTCACAACTTCTGACTTTTACTCATATCCTGTGGTCTGAAAAGAAAGTGACAGCTAGTGAACAAGCCTATATGACAGACAAGTGTGACAACGAAGTTACATGCTCATCATTAAGGTATAATTTTGAAGTACCTAAAGCCAAAGAGTAGACATAACAACTGCTTCATTCTAACTAACTTCAACACACAATATACAGACTGTGGCCCACCTTCCTCTACCAAATTCATTACCAAGCCCGACAGCAGATTATTTCTGGTTGCCAGCGAAAACGCCCTAGCACAAGATATCTTAGGTAACACATGCTTCTATCCTACTCGGGGCTATTCTTTATTGGACATGATGTTAACTCAATGTGAAGAGTATTGGTAATAATAATATATTTATTCGGTTATACACCATTCTGTAGTCAGCAACGAGCATAGGTTGTTATCGTTCAACATAGGGATTTGCGACCTACATAAAAACCCATTTTGGAATAGGATCCATGCAATGACTATTAGTTCCGAATACGGATGAGATATATCGAACAGAGTTCAAGTAGTTAGAAACAGAATAATCAGGGGACTCACAAATACCTCTTATGTCAAGAGGCTGGATTGATTGGATATTCTTACACTGTCACATCTAAGACTGTGCATTAGGTAATGACTATGGTGCTAATTTATTTTGCTCAACTCCTCATGACTTGTGTGAAAATCATTCTAAAGTTTGGAAATCCTGGTAGGATCGTGTACCAGTAGAATTTCGGTCATAATAATGAATTGTGAACTAGTGGGTTTTTCAAAGCAAAATGCGACCTCCACTGTTTGGAAAATCTAAACGTTAATGTAGTGCGCCGAAGCTCTCTGTAGGCCCTTATGCGACTTGTTCCAACACTCCATGGAATTGGGGAAACTGCCAAAGGAATGGAAAAGAAGCATCCTTTCTCCGATCTTCAAGGGTGGGGATAGGCAAAATCCCACCAGTTATAGACCAGTAGCTCTGCTCCCAGTGGTATCGAAAGTACTGGAAAGTATTACCGATGATCACATCAGGGAATATCTGGATAGATCTAAAATACTCCATGAAGCCCAACACGGTTTCAGGAAAGGAAGATCCTGCGTCACTAACTTATTATCAGCTTGGGACGACTGGATATCATGCTGGGATATGAATGTTCCTGTCCATGTGATCTTTCTAGACTTTGAGAAGGCATTTGACACTGTTCACCATGACCTTCTCCTACACAAAATAAGTCAGGCAGGTATAGGTAAGCTACTTCTGTCATGGTTAAAGGAATACCTAGCTGAAAGGCAGTTTCGCACTAAGGTCAATCGAGTCCGATCATCTTGGCACAGCTCGTCATCAAGAGTGTCGCAGGGTTCTATCCTAGGACCACTGATGTTTTTGATTTTTACCAATGATCTACCATGCCGTTTTAGCTGCACGACTCTTCTATACGCTGACTACGTAAAGATATGGAGGGCGATAAAGTGTCCGGAGGACTCAGATAGACTGCAGGCAGATCTAAGGCTTCTGGAAGACTGGGCGGTAACCAGTGGCATGACTTTCAACCTGAAAAAGTGCAAAGTAGTGAAGTTACGCACCTGTAGACTGCAGAATGCAAGTTACACCTTGTGCAATGAAAGCTTGTCCTGCTCAACGTCGGAACGTGACTTAGGTCTAGTTCTAACGGAGAAAATGGACACAAGCGTGAATTACACGGGGGATGTAGCGAGGACATATGCGGTCATACACTTTACACATAGACAATTAGGTGCACTCACTCCTGAGCTCTTTCTAAGGTTGTATAAAACATACGTCAGACCGCATCTTGAAGTGCATAATATCATTGCACCCCCACTGCTTAAAAGAGACGCCAACCTCTTGGAAAGAGTCCAACGACAGGCAACAAAAGGAGTGGTTGGTCTCCGAAATAAACCATATGACGAAAGGCTGAAGAAATTAGGCCTATTCACACTCAGTTACCGTCGCCTGAGGGGGGATTTGATTACTGCCTACAGAATAACAAATGATCAGAATCACCTAAACAAAGGTGTTCTGCCATTGAGTAGGTATAGGCTTCCTCGTGGAAATCCTAGAAGGATAGCTCATCAGAGGGCAAGGACCCGGGTGCGCTCCCACTTCTTTTCCCTGCGGGTTTGCCGTCCCTGGAATTCCTTACCGGCAGATGTAGCTATGGCACCATCTGTGGACGCCTTTAAGCGAAGGCTGGACAACCATGCAGCGACACAAGGACTTCATCCAAATGGCCTATCCCCTTAAAATCGCATATACCATTCAAAGGTAGACAATTAAACTGGTCGTTTTACTTCTTCACATTCCCTTCAGTCTTACTCTCCTGACAGCTTTAACTACACCTATTATTATTATTATCATTATCATTATTACTGGTACATATATATATACCGGTTGACTGACTGTTGTTACGTTTTCTTATTCTTTCTCTGTCTGTTAGTCTGAACACCTTTACTAATTATATCTATTATTATTATTATTATCTCTTTTCCATTGACGACGATACCGAAAGACTAACTGGTGAAAGGATCAACTCCATTCACAGTAGTAACAGTCTTAACATACTTCATACTACAAACCCCATATAATTAACCCCAGCACTACTCCTGTTGGAGTCAACCAAAGCTACGACAGTTGAGTGGCGGGACGAGCTACACAGAAGTTTACCGAAGATCAGGAACCTCTACCTCACAGTCAAGAGGCGAGCACAAAGAAGTCAAATTGGTTTTTACTAGCTCGTAAAAACGATATTGGATATTGGATATTAGAAACGAAACATCCTGAGATGTAATCTAGGTTCTGGAGCATCAGAGAGTAAAAGTAAGCCTTGGAAAATATTTTTCGCCAAATATTCAATCTATAATCTCAAAAATGAAAATGAACGAAAATTTAGCTGTTTTTACGAGGTAATTTTTTATCTTTGACATATTACTAATTCACGCTTCGTGTTTAAGTGACGCTTGTAGGTCGTAGGCGGCAGTTGATTGTTGTGCACGCGGGGCAATGGTGAGTTTAAGTCTTCTTTGCCTTATTGGTCTCTATAATCCCTCTGCATATCTCTATGAGCGAAATCAAATAAGTTTACTTGTAGAATTGCCTAACCACACCTGAAGTTAACGTGACCCTAGGCTTCTTCACCCGTCTCTATAAGAAGCACCAATTATTGCGTTTAGGATCAAAGCGATCACAAAATATGTTGTCAACTGTGTGACCCTTTATTTCAACAATATTTGAAATGTTGTTGTACATCCTCCCGTTAGAAGTGCTGGTGAATTAGTTGGAAATTAATGGCAAACTCACTCCCCTTCCGTTTTCAACACACCTTTGCACACTCGAATCTCCTTTTAGCGTCATACTAGATTTGAAGTGTCCCATTACTAATGATATAATATGGAGTTGATACATGCACAAAGTGACCTAGAGTTTGTACAACCTTCCCTTTGCACTGATGTTGAGTAATACTACTTATGAGGTGCCATCAATATCTCACAGATGTAACACCATACACTAGAAAAAATGTCCGACAACTTATGTTGACACCCGCTTAATAGGAGAAATCACCCAGCTAGCATTGACTCCGGGAGCACTGCAGAATTTCCGGGGCAGACTGCAAATCACGTTCTGCGATGCGCCCGTAGAAAGTGCTGGGCACTTCTACCAGTAGTGTACACGGATCTCACTTTCGATGAACCACAGTGTGGGACACTAAAATAGGACCATTAATTAACACTAATCCCTTGGTTGACAATTAAGCTTGGCATTGTATTCCCACAATTCGATGAGGGGTTTTTCTCAAAATCCTTTCAGGACGTAGGGCTAGTGATTTATTACCACTTTTGCATATGTCTATGTTACTTTGTGTAGTAACTGAAGACCCTATCCTAAACGCAATAATTGGTGCTTCTTATAGAGACGGGTGAAGAAGCCTAGGGTCACGTTAACTTCAGGTGTGGTTAGGCAATTCTACAAGTAAACTTATTTGATTTCGCTCATTATATAGCTAAATATTCTGACATTTTCTAGAACACCGAGTTATTTTCAGGTGCTAATTCTTAATCCAACTCGAGTGGTACTATAATCATCCAAAGATTTATTAAGGTGGCCACTTAAACGTTGATTTACTCTCGATGACTATGCTTCACCCCCCTATTATAACCAAAATGTTGAGTTCGTTGTCAGTAAACCTGAACCAGTAACTATTGTGACATTTTCAAAGACCTGAAGTAAATCTGGTCAAATGCATTCCATGAGGTACTTCGAACTGCAAGTCCTAATTAAGGCATAAGGCACTACTTGTGTGTAGTTTAGGTTGTCGCTTGTTTTTTTGTAAAATTAGGAAGTGTGATCAAAACTGATACATTGTAATGCAACTCAATGCTCATGAGTCGTTGTAATAAAGTTCTCCTATTCTCTTTCTCATATGTCTCTGTGCTGATATTAACGACATTATCAGGTTTTGCCAGATAACTGCAGAATTGATGTGGTATAGTCAGTAGCCATAGCATTTCAGACTAGTTTATTTTTAACGATTTTCGTCATTCACAAGCTATACATACTAGAGTTTAAAAGTTTGCAAGTACTGTCACCTATCATCTGACGTCGCCAGATGTTACAATTATTGAAATGCTTAGGTCGTATTCAAATGGCAGTGGTATATTAAGGGGATATACTTGTAACTAAACCTAGGGAGTGTAAGACCTATGTGAGGTAACTTAAAACTAGCTGCTAAATACTTTGTTCTTGATGGTCGACAAATAAGTAACCTACTAATTTCTTAATTACAATTATTTTATACTTATGCAACACTTTATCTTATTATCTCAGGGTATCGATATCTGCCACAAGTACGATAGGAAAGTAAGGAGAACCAACCCAAAGAGCGACGATGTCTATCTACGTCTGTTGGTTAAAGCCTACAAATTCTTGGCTCGCAGAACGGGCTCGAAGTTCAACAAAATAATAATGAAGAGGCTTTTCATGAGCAAAATCAACAGACCTGCACTGTCATTAGCACGTCTGATGCGTTTAATGAAAAAGCCTGGACGAGAAAATAAGATCGCTGTTTGTGTTGGGACTATTACCAACGATACAAGGATCCGAGAGTTTCCAAAGATGAAGGTAATTCACTCAGACTTCATCTAATTATATAGCCAAATATTTTGAGCAGTTATTCATTACTCTTATGATTTTCTTCTTTTATAGGTTTGTGCTCTCAAAGTGACAGCAGCAGCTCGTGAACGAATTTTGCATGCGGGTGGTGAAATAATAACTTTCGATCGCCTGGCTGTTCTGAGCCCTCTTGGGAAAAATACTGTACTAATTCAAGGACCTAGGAAGGGTCGCACGGCAGTTAAGCACTTTGGTCCTGCTCCTGGTGCACCTAGTAGCCACACACGACCCTATGTCCTCTCAAAGGGTCGTAAATTCGAGAAAGCTAGAGGTCGTCGTGCTAGTCGAGCTTACAAGAAGTAAATTTGTACATGAAAAATAAATGCTTTTATTGGAGCGCCTGTGTATTTTTGCCGTCACACTAGTGATAGTAATTTTCGTTTATTTACGACCTAGGAATAGGGTTGATCATAGTGATTACTATATTTACTAGTGAGCTAAATTAGAATTTGTTTATACGAGTTGACTGAGCTTTCAAAGTAGAAACTGCACAAAAGTAGAGCAGTTCAAGTTGTCACATTCCATATGGCCCACAGGTAATTAGAAATAGTTGAAAGCAGCTAAAATGAACGGTGGTGTATGCGAGAGAATGAATAACTAGATGGAGAATAATGACAATTCGATAGATTTAGGGGTTCACAGGGAGTGATTGCATCTGTGCCGTTGAGAACGATTTTGAGCCATGTAATTTTCAGAAAATGACGCTTAACATCTCGAGGAGGCAGTTTACACCGGTCATATGTGGCTCAAACCTTTCAACAAAGACTCCATAAGTTTATACCAGGTGTTGATTTGACCAACTCTGACTCCTTTGCGATCTAATCCGATGTCAGTTATTATTGCTCGACGAGCAAAGCGATGGCTTACCTCGAAGTTTAATGAGTCTGGAGACTGTTTGCCTCCCTTTTTTCTAGGATACCTCATTACTACTTCATTTAGGAAGTTGACATGTAATGCGAACTGTACAGATAGTTGTGAAGAGTAACTGACAATAGGTATTTTGTGTCATGGCCTTGATAACCTACTGATATGCAGGTACTTTTTTGGGGACTAGTTTGTACCGAAGATATCAAACAGGGATAATATCCGATATTAGTTAAAGTTATGTATCCCAGTCTCCTGAACTGGTATATTCTCAAACCTTTAAAGTAGTATTATTTAAAATAAATTAGGTTCACTATAGGCATCACAAACAATATGGAAAAAAGGAAGATGAAGCATCAGCGTTGCTGCAGATGACCACGTCTTTTATTTGACTGCTGTCTTTTGTCAAAAGTTTACGATAGCCGTGCTGGAAGTTGGTGCTTGTTAGAAACAGGTGACCTGCTTATAGCTCTGAAGGATGTGCGTGAAGGTGGTGTAGATCTGCTACCTGGAGATAGACTTTTCGACCTCGAGTATGCAGACGATATCGTCTTACTGTGCGATAGCATGCAGGCTGCTCAAATCGCACTTAATCAGTTGGTGATCAGTGTCTGTAAGTATGGTATGTGCTTTGCTCAGTCTAAGTCCAAAGTACTGTTACAAAATTGGCAGGAGCCTGTACCTACACTCACTCTTGCGGGTGAACCGCTTGAAGTTGTTGATAAGTTTGTGTACCTAGGTAGTTGTGTGAGTGCTGGCGGAGGGATGACGGATGAGATTTCCAACCGTATAATGAAGGCTAGGGTGGCATACATCAACTTGAGCCGCCTCTGGCGCCGTCGCGACGTTAGCCTGGCTGTCAAAGGTCGGGTATACAATGCTTCGGTGCTGGCTGTCTTGCTCTACGCCTGTGAAACCTGGCCTCTCCGAGCTGAGGATGTGCGGCGACTGTGTGTGTTCGATCATCGCTGTCTCCGCAGGATTGCTTGCGTTCGATGGCATCATCGCGTGAGTAATTCTGAGGTTCGGCGGCGTGTGTTTGAACACAGTGGAGATCACCATTCATTGAATGTCGTCATCTGGAAACACCGGCTCCGGTGGCTTGGACATGTGCTACGAATGTCATCCCAGAGGCTTCCGTACAGGTCTCTGTTCGCTAGCCCTGGGACGGGATGGAAAATGAAATGAAAGGGGTGGTCAGTCCATGACGTGGCGTCGTGGGATGAAGGATATTTGTGCTAGATTAGCATCGGTTGGTGCGTCACGACTCCCTGGTTGGGGTCCGCGAGATAGCTCGAAACGTTATCGGATATGGCCAAGAATCGTAATCAATGGCGAACGTGCTGCAATTTCCTTCTTTCTTCCCTTCCTGATGATAGTTAACGAATACTGTTTGAACTTGTTAAACATGACTGTTTTCCTTCCTGATGAGGTTCTTTATCCGTTTTCTACTTATATTTTTACTTTTAATCTATGTTGTTTTATTATTATTGTGTGGCGCATCTTTCTTGGTGCCATATTGTACCAAGTTTTTTTCTGCGTTTAAATAAATAAATAATAATATGCTTATAGCTCATAAAGATGATCCTTATTACCAGGCCTTTGATTATCTAAACATCTCTGTTGAGCATAGACAATCTAACTGCATTCAACTTCAAGGATGTTTGTCGAGCACTCTAGGCACTGTAATGTAACCTACTTTGATAACACAAACGTCTGACTGGAGTTACGGGTACGCAGTTACATAGAAGTACTTCAAGTGAAAGATCTTTGATGATTCATCTTCGGCTGTATCGTTTACTACTGGCTTTATCAATCTGGCCACAGACGCTAAGTGTTTTAAACTGCCATTGTGCAATAGGCAACAACGTGCCTTTTGTTCGGAAATCTCTGAGATTCATAGGCCTAAACTTTTGTATCAGATGCACTACTTCATCAAGTGTGATTGTGTGGCAGACTAAGGAGTTTTCGATAACAGTTGCCTCGTTTCCGAGAATTGTGGTAAAGCCAAACAACATAAGGACATATAACCACATCTGGCTGAACGATAGTAATTAGCCTTGCTGATTTTACGTGACTTCACCATTTCTCATCAGTCATCTCTAAGGTGTGGTGATGTTTCCAGTCTGTCGTCAGAAGAGAAGCGTTTTAACACCCTGCATATACATGATATTACTGTGGTCTACAGTACTATACAGACTACTCAAATAGATCTTAGTTAACTGGTGGTCAGTGTAGTACTTGCTTTACGCTACTGGTTAACTGTATGTTTCTACGGAATCCTTATTCGGCATACTTGCAATGTCCTCACATGAATTTATGCTATTAGTTACTGGTGCACAATCTGTGCATTATTGTGTCTCTGTTCATTCATCATCAACCTGAAACCAATCTGGAAATCTTCGTCACTCAGCCTGCATCAACAACAAAGTGATTCGGATTTTCAATACAAACGTCAAGTCAGTCAGTTCTTCTATACGGATGGATCAGAAACTTGGCCAGTGTGTCACAAAGAATATTTCCAACAGCCTGTTGCAGACCTTTATCAACAGCTGTCTTCGCTCTATACTCAAGATCAGATGGCCGGAAAGAACAAGAACCAACAAGAAACTATGGGAACAAACAAAACAAGAACCAATCGCCCAACAGATATGAAGGAGAAAGTGGAGATGGATTGGACACTCGCTGAGGAGGCCGTTGGGTGACACCACGCCTCAGGCCAGTGCTCGAGTGGAACCCGAAAGGGAAGCGGCGAGTGGGACGTCGAAGGGTGACATGGAGGAGATCGTGTGAAGAGGAATTGAAACAGTATGGATTAACATGGACGCAGGTGAAAAGTACAGCAGAAGACAGTATCAAGTGGAGATGTGCAGTTGAAGCCCTATGTTCCACTAGGAACCCAAGGGAACAATAATAATAATTCCAGCCGCATTGAGAATCCTACGTAAGGCCACTAACGTTCCTTCTTTATACGGCAGTACTACAGGGGCTTTGAATTATGTATTATTTTCGTTATTTGTATTTGTATTGGTTATTTTGTTGACCCTGGTGGCTGATTGACTCGTGGAAAATTCTGAACGCTGGCGTCATATTGAAGTCTGCACTGAATATGTTGTCTGGAAAGACAATGAAAGCTTCAGAACTAAAACATCCAACTCAGGGAATGCGCAACTACACCGATGTCATCCACCTGAACTACAAACCTTCGCCATCGTATCCTTTTCAGTAAGCTGGCTGAGTTGTAGTATCTTGCTAAATAATATTTAAACACAGGACAACAATCACAGCAGTATAGTATTACATCATTCCACTCCAAAGCCTTGTTTCGTTACATGTGTGCAACTTATAAAAAAATATCAATCAGTGAAATGAATTCACTTAGTGAGTCTGGCTGGATTCGACATAGAACTTGGCACCGAAGTGCAGCAGTTCGAGTTGCTACGTTCCAAAGAGCACACAAAGGTAGACAAGAAAATGAGTGAAGAGAATCAATAGAGTTTTGACAAGTATAAGAGTGAAACAGAATGAGTAATGGTAGAAAGGAATATGAAAGTTTACAGAGACTGAATACATCTGCGTAAGCCATTGACAACGATTTTGAGCCATGTCACCTATTGTCTCCAGCCATTGATTCTTAGAGTCCCGAGGGTGGGCCCCAACCCGGAAGTCTGCATCTCCCTACCTGACTCAGTTTAACTGTCAAGGATTTCATGGATTGATGCCATATTTTTGTTTGGCCATCACTTACTCTTTTCCAACCAACCTGCACCTATATCAGCTAGTAATGCCCGTCGGGGTAGGGGAGGCGATGGTTAGGCATGCGCAGCATGTGACCTAGCCATCTCAATCGATGTAACTTTATAGCCTCTTCGATTGATTTTCCCTCTTTGCCCAACACTCTACGCCTAACGTCGACATTACTTACCTTATTACGCCACCTAAGGTGAGAAAGAGATCGTAGACATCTATGATCAAAAACAGACAACCTTTTCATGTCTTCAACTCGTATTGGCCATGTTTCAGAGCCATAGAGAAGGACGGAGCGAGCTGCTGAGCAGTACACACGTCCCTTGGTTGATAGCCGGATGTCACGCCTACGCCAGAGATGGTGTAAGTTAGCGAAAGCAGCTCGAGCTTTTTGGATCCGTGCTGAGATTTCGTCACCAATCAATCCGTTGTTGCTGATACAACTTCCCAAATAGGTGAGTGGCAGTTATTCAGCTTTAACGAACAGAATATTCTACAAAATTACAATTATATTTTCAAGTGTCAGTTTGCAGGAATTTAGTTGATTTCAAGAATGATCACGAACTGATTCTAGTTGAATGAAGAACCACTACAAAAACCAGTGAGTATTAGACAGTTGTCTTATCTTACTACTTTGAGGCTCTCCAGGAGTATGCATCCATGACCCCACCGGTAATCGAACCTAGTTATAAGGTGAGCTTGTTGAAAATTCATCTACTAGGACGGACTCCAATGGCTCATGAATTCTAATTTCTACCAATTCACCGTTGACAGTGACACCATTGGCCGATATTATCAGTTGCCAGCAGCTTTCAAGCACTCCCGGGTACTGTTGAAGAATGCCTAACTAGGAAAAAATAGCTGTCTTAGTACTACTCTCTGGTATCTACCGTGTTCAATAAAATGTTCTAGTTAATTTGTGGAGAGAGCAAGCAGTAAGACGCTTTGATATTGTGAATAAAAGATTAGTAAAAATGGGATTGGTGAAATGTTTAAATGACAGAGCACAAAAATTAAGTAGTACCAAAGAAAATCTAAAACAGGAACTGATACACATAAAAGAAGCCTTGAAACTTAATAATTACCCGGATAAATTAGTCAGGAAATATGTAAGGAAATGTAAAAATAAAATAAATAATGATAGTAGCGATAGTGATAATAACAATAATAATGACAATGATAATAGTGATAATAATAATATTAATGACGACACCAACAATAAAGAATCTAAATCATCAGTAGTAATTCCATACAAGGAAGGAACCTCGGAAGCCTTACGCAGAATTCTTAACAAGGCAGGAATAAAAACGGCATTCAAACCCACAAACTCAATTAGAAACAAGCTTTGTCGATTAAAGGATCCTGTAGAGCCTTTAAAACAAAACAATTTAGTTTATCTAATACCCTGCCTGCAATGATTGTCAGGTCAAATACATAGGTCAAACTAGTAGAACAGGGGCAGTCAGACTAGCTGAACATAAAAACCTAGCAAAATCTAGATTGGTTGACCCAAATAAGATAAGAAATCTAGAGAATAGTTCAGCTATAGCACTACATGCAGTTACACACAACCATACAATAGGATGGGATAGGATGACAGTTTTAAAATCTAATGCCACAGGATATAGATGGAGAGATTGATAACAGAAGCTTTGTTTATCAAATCAACTGCAAATACATGTAATAGGAATGATTCATCACCTGTCCCCGATATCTGGAAAATTCTACTACCCATACGACAAATAGGAGAGAACAAAGAAAACTATAAAACTCAAGTGTCAAAGTCGTGTGATCACAATTGATGATATGATTACGAACAATAAATTTTGTTCAAAACGTCATCCAGTAAATAATACTGTTTCACTGTGTGATATACCTAATAAACAAACTAATATGGAATTACTTACTACCACAGTGCCCAAGTTTTACACATATATTAAGATTAGATTTCTTAAAAAAAGATATTCAAATTGTATAGTGGTGTGCAAGAGTAGAGAAACTTCATACAATTCTTCCTATTTAGTGACGTAATAACAGTATCTATATAATTTTGGTTTGTAAGTTTAGTCACTAGGGTAAAAAATGTTTTCTGTAGTTAGGTAGCCTCCTGTATTGATATACTACTTCTAGTTAAACTTTGTTTCTACGCAAAACTCTTTCTGGACTCTATCTTTTCTTCAAGAGTACCCGTCTAATTATCCTGTAAACAGTCATTCCTTTTAACATCTTACGTCATTCCTGACCTATGTTACTAATTGTCAGTACCAATTATTCCTTGTTATCACGTAAAAAGTATGCTCAAATCTTTAGTGTAGCCTATATTTTTGTTGTATTGTTACCTACCTGGGAAGCATCGTCTCAACTACAGGCGGACGGAACTGACGAGGATATCAAGGCAAGAATCGGGAAAGCAAGACAAGCTTTCACTACTCTCAAGTCTGTGTGGAGGTCAACAGCACTCAGCATGAAAATGGAAATAAGATCCGGATTTTCAACTCCAATGTGAAGTCAGTGCCACTCACTATACGGATCAGAGACTTGGCTAGTGCGTCATAAAGAGCATCTCAAACAAACCACAGACCTTCATAAACAGTTGTCTTCGCTCAATACTCAAGATCAGATGGCCGGCCAGAAAAGATCAGCAATAGGGAGGGATCTCTTGGAGCGAACCAACCAAGCAGGAACCGATTGTGAAAGAAATAGGCAGGAAGAAATGGAGATGGATTGGCTGGCCATACTCTGAGGAAACAATCCATCAAGTGAGTGACATCACTAGACAAGCCATTGCTCGAGTGGAACCCGAAAAGGAAGCGGAGAGTTGATCGTCAGTGCAAGGGTGAGGGTGACTTGGAGGAGGTCATGTGAAGAGGAGATGAAAGCATGTGGGCAGACTTGTAGCGAGGTGAAGACTCTAGCAGAGAACCGCACGCAATGGAGACGCACGGCTGAAGCCCTATGTTCCTCTAGGAATTAAAGGAAATAATAATAATAATCAGGTTGTAGTCAGGTGAGAAGCAACTTCGAAATAATAAAGAAAAATGAGTTCATATTATCGTGATGAGTTTAGTTTAGCTGGTGAGAAAAAGTCATAATTCTTAATCCACTAAAAAATGGAAAGTCTATCATCAAAGAAAGAAAGAGTTTCTAAATTCAGTCACCGTGGAAAAAAGAACAAATCAGAATCTCAATAACTTCTCCTTGACCAACTAAGGAGTCTCTTCCAATACAACTTTTTTTGTCAGCTACTCATTCATGAGATCTGACAGTACCTGAATTCACAGCCAACTAGTTTCAATGGTGAGAGAGTATATACCACAAACTAGCAGAAGTTAGAATTCATGGGCCACTGGATTAAGCCCTAATGACTGGATGGTCAACGGGCTTACCCTTAAGGACACCTAGGTTCGGTCGCCAGTCATAGATGAGTACTGATATGGAGTCCAAAGCTAAGCTGAAACAGCTGTCTCCAGTACTTTCTAGTTTCTAATGGTTCTCCAGTGGATATCAGTTTGCGATGTCAGTTGGAACCAATCAAATCTTTGTAAATCAGAATTTGAAAACATTTGATTTCAAAGCGTCTTCCTGTTGCAAGAACAATCTGACCAGCGATTGCATAACTGAAAATTGCTTTCATGGGATATGAATTTTCTAGTATATATTTCAAAATATGTAAGGTGTTCTGATCTTAAACTGCTGAAATCGCTGTCACCCCTTTATTCTCTTTATCATGAGAGATAATAAGTGACCTGTTTTTTTATCCTGCACAACCTTTTAGGTAATGGTGGATGTCGACGTTTACACACGACACGCTATATGTCAATGCGAGTTTTTATCCTCCAACTTCCAAAGTACTTGTTCTACTTAGACCAAAAATAAAGAAAAACAACAAATTGATCGTCCAAAATACGATGTGTGTGTGTCGGGATCAGAGTCGTAGTGGGATGACAATTGCTTAGCTAGCTAGGGATCATGTAAAAACTACCGAATGCCGAGAATGCTTGACCACGTACTTTTGGCTTAGCGAGACAACTTAAACAGTCGAGATCAGCATCAGTGTTGAGTGAAGAATGCTGTGTAGGCTAATAATTTTGGGGAATTATTTACCGCTACAACCTTAACTCCAATATTCCTTTGAAGACTATCTGTATTTTGTTTATTTAGTTATTCTATGTACTTTTCCCTTATTACTACGATCATTATTAATATTATCATTATTATTATTACTATTCTCACTCTGAATCTTTTCCACTTGACATTTTAAACCCAAAATTATTAGTTTTTATGTTTTCATTTTTACAATATTGAATTCTATCTTATCAAATTTCACACCATGTTATGTAACATTTTATATTCGTCTACTAATCTTATAATTATGTACCCCTTTCCAACAATATCCATACACCTTATGTATTATTCTATATATGACACTAGTTATTTTGCCACTTGATATATATATATATATATATATATAATATAATATTAATTACATAATTGTTGAGCTAACAAGTATACCACGACAACCTTCACCTTGATCACTAAATATACACGACTTAACAATTAACGAGTTGAAGAAGTCGATGAATGAAGTACATTCGTGCACATTAGTGTAGAATATTAAATAAAAACAAACAAACAAAGTAGGAAACATTGTATTGAATACCTCTCATTCATATACATATATATATATATATATATACTTCTTATCTATAAACCTGTCTGCTTACAAAATACAAACATAATAGTGTAATGAGCAAAACTGTTTCGTCTCTGAAATACGAAAAAGAACACAGGCGGAGAGAGAAACAGAGAAGACCTGATTTCACATGATTTAAAATACACAAATAATAATAAATATATAAGCTGTTGACAAAGTATTTTGAAGACAAAAGGTTAGAATTGAGGAAGAAATAATAATAATACTAGTAATATTAATATATATTACAATGTTTCATCTAACCTCTTGCTTACAAAGAAATTGTTTTTAAGGCAACGAACGGAAGATGAATGATAAAATAGGCTACAACAACAACCAACCAACCGACCAAACAAACAAACACACGGGTGAATAATGAAAACGAGGGTGTTGTGTAAAAATAAAGGAAGAAGTACAAACACAATTACAGATAAACTAAATCCAAAATTATTACAATACTACATATATATCATACATCATATACACATATCATCATATATATCACATTCATTTGTTTGGTTTTCCCGAATTTGGAATACAAATTGAATGGCTGACTGATTGAATTGAATTGAAGAGAAGTGAGAGAAGAAAAAGAAATGGAAGCCCAATTGTTGTTTATATGAGAACTGTTGTATCATTGAAGAGTGGCGGCAGAGTCCAGTTGAAATCTTCTGAATCAGAGCATACTCCTAAACGAAACAAAACAGAAAAAAAGGCAAATATATGCATACACAAATCAACTATGTTATATGAGAGACAGAGAAGCAGAGATGAGAAGTTTAAAGACAGATATATATATATATATAAGCTTGCCTTGTAACCGGAAGGTCCTGGGTTCGAAACCTGGCGATGGGTATGTGCTGCCGATGATTCCCACACTAGGATGCAACAGCTGTCCAGTACTCCAGTCCTGGTTTTCAATGGTTCTCTAACTGACATCAATCCGTGATCAACTCGTAAAAACAAATCTAATCCTTACAAACCAACTATTGAAAATATTAATAGAAGAAGACAAGTAGTTCTGTGAAGAGTCTCTTTTCAGCGGCGAATTCATTTTCATAGCTGTACAATCGCAAATATATATGGTTGTTTTGTATGTGTGTGTACATTAAATTTGTCAAACGAAAATACAATTAGTAAGTTCAGATGAATTGGATGTTGATATAAGTGAGTAGTAACAAAAGAGGTGAGTTGTCACAAACGATTGTTAAAGAAGAGTTACGTAATAACATGAATAGTTTAATGAAAGAGTTGTACTCAGGGTGGAAAAAAAATAATATACGGAATTACACAAGGGTTTTAAGTAGAAAAATAAGCATACAAACAAAAGTTAAGTCAAATCAAACAAACAAACAAAGAAAAGTTAAGTCTTTGCGGCAACATTGAGAGTAGTGTTCTCCAGTCGCCCGCTGATCTGCAGAAGCCCAAAAGTCAAAATCCCGCACCTGACCAGTTCACCTGTTGCTGTGGAGCCAGGTACATCGGTCGTTCAACGCGTATCCTGTCAAAAAGGGTCAAAGAACACTATCCAACGTGGCTGCATAAGGAGTGCAATAATAGAACACCTCGTCAACATTGGCCATTCCATCTCAACAAACGCCTCCTTCAAAGTAATCTACAAAGTGAAGAACAACCTTCCCTGAGTACAACTCTTTCATTAAACTATTCATGTTATTACGTAACTCTTCTTTAACAATCGTTTGTGACAACTCATCACCTTTGTTACTACTCTCTTATATCAACATCCAATTCATCTGAACTTACTAATTGTATTTTCGTTTGACAAATTTAATGTACACACACATACAAAACAACCATATATATTTGCGATTGTACAGCTATGAAAATGAATTCGCCGCTGAAAAGAGACTCTTCACTGAACTACTTGTCTTATATCCATTAATGTTCGAATGGGAATTTTTCATGAATATTGAAAATATAACAACGACGTAATTTCATCCTAACTTATAGAAGACGGTTGCGGCAAGCAAATACATCTGTTATTTTGTGTGTGGAGACAGTTACGTGGGCAGAAAGACTCGGAAAGTCCACCGTCGTCTTTTTGAGAAGTCTCCAACATGGTTAGGTGAAGGAATATTACAGTCGATCAGGAGTTCCATACTGGTACACCTTGTGGGTACGAATCACAAGATTTATAAAAAATCAGTCTTTACAATTCTATACAAGGTACCACCTAAATTTTATAAGTTTGTGCACTTTCGACTGGCTAAGCATAGCTGAGGAAGTTTTCATAAAAATGTTTCAATCCAATCTCTGTGTTCAGAAAAAGTTTGTTCAATCCCTTTCCCTCCCACTGCCTTCAACCCCAACCTAGGATAGTTATCTCTCCCAGTAAGACTTGATAATTGTAATTTTTATTTTTATTTGTACTGCTAACTTTTGAATAAAGCAAGAACAAGAGTGATTTGTGCAGAATAAAATGATACCATTGTTGCTTATTTCGTTGGCTTCTCATCATCTGCTTACAGCTCAAGGATATTATTAAGTTTGTGTATAGAAACAATTTTGGCATACTTGCGCAGAGTTCATTTTTAAACAAAAATGCTAATAATGATGATAATCATTTTATCCCAAACAACAATAATAATCATACATAATGCAATCTTTCGGCGTTGCGTAATCAGATGAAAGAGAGGATAAAAACATCCAGTTACCAGGGCAAGGAAAGACTGATAACCGCTGCTTTCTGAACAGCGCATAAATCGGGTTTCAGGAGTTTGATAGAGATTGCAAACTTAAGAAGAATTGGACTCTTTTACCTATTGATAATTTTGAACGATTTCGCGACGTCCACCTCATAACCCGTGTCAAGGAGATGCCCGGCGATGGCACTGTTTAAAGCACTTGTTCCCTTTAGACATAGGCTTTCTGGTACATATTCAGAAAACCGGAGATATACCCTTCATTCTGTTCTTTCAATGCAACTGCTCCCGCAGATACATGTAAATTTATACACACAATTGGAGTTAACATGAGAAGGATATCTGTCGACTTTTGATTGCACCAAAGACCATGTTGTTCGACAGCCGGGAATATCAGCTTAGCTGCAGGATAGGCTCTGGTTAGTTAAAAGTAATCCGATTTCTGGCTAACTACTTGGGTAAATTGGTAATTCCATAAATCGAATTTTCAATTTACAAATTAGCTTGAAATTCACACAGTTAGAGGAGGTGAAATTTCACTACAGTTTCTTTTGGAAACCGAAATTATTATGCAGTTACTAAGGTATTTCGAATGTTAATGATAAGCAAAAAGGTGTCACTAACTTCAGATGCAACCGTCTGACAGTTGAGTTTATCAGCTTCAACTGCAATCTGCACAGTTAGTAATCATATAGCCAGTTTTATCACTACTTTTCTTTAACCGATCACATATTGTGAATCTTCGCCTCGAATTGTGTAATTTGCAAACTGTACGTTTGATTTCATTGTGGTGAGAGCTGTCTGCAAGCCAAAATTGCAAACAACAATTCACGTCTATGTTTAATTCCTGAATCGGAGTCATGAGAGGAAACAAGAACAAAGCCTAACCTTGAGGAACTCAACAACCAATCACAGAAGACTTTTTTTATTCCTTTACGTTCCCAGTGGAACATAAGGCTTCAAGCTGAGGCTTGAAGTTTCTGTAGCAGTGGTGATTATTTTTACAGGATGGGGTTGCTAGCCTCATGCCTAACCTTCCCTCTTTACCAGTCTTATTACTGGCTTAGCAAGGTAAAGGAGTGCGTCGGCCGGGAATCGAACCCCGGACCCCCTGAGTGGTCGGCGAGCGCTCTACCACTGTGCGACCGACGCATTCACAACAGACTAAGTGTGTGCAAATACAATTCGCAGATAAGCAGTACAGAATAACCTTCGGCAAGAAAAAACAATCAGAAGACGTTGCTTCTCTGTTAAAATAACGAATAATGATGTACATAATTACCTATAAATATCTCTTGATTTTCTCAGTAAACGATCTGTTGCCTAGCCCTTGTCTTCTGTCGTCACACTATATGTTTGCAGTCCAACTAAGTAGCCAGCTTAAAATCACCTGAGTCTCACAGTTGGTGAGTGGCTTCCAACTACTCATATGACTTAGTAGTATATGCCACCATACAGAAATTATTTTTAGACGGATCAGTTACATACATGTAATCAATTCTAATGTTACTCCATTATGGATAAGATTTTATTTTGATAAATCAGACAGTGTTATACAGTAAAATTAATTGATATCAGTCCGTGCCCAAGTTTTATACTTATATCAATTCTAGTGTTATTTAAATATAAGCAACAAGGAACACGGAGTTTTGAATAAATACAATAGTGTTTTCCCAAGACAAACGAATGACATAATAAAGAGGTGTGTTTGACGAATTACACGAGATACCTTGAACCGATGCTAAAATCCATAGTAATCACTCAAATTTGTCTGGGCTTTATATTGTATAAAAGAATGAATATGGAATCTTGACGAGACTTTTCCAGCAATTTCATCTATATAGATGAATGAACGATACGAGGCTCTTTGAAGTAAAAAAAATACTGTAATGCATCCTTGTTCAGTAATCATTTGTAAAGCTTTCTAATTAAGGTTTCCAATGCAAGTGGGTCTTCAGTCACTACTATGAACACCAATTAATCCTACTGCTCTGTAGAATAAATATTACACGAATTCTGCAGAATTCATCTCACTTTACTTGAAGCAATAGTTAAGTGTAACCAATTGAGAGACAGTAGAAAAAGAGTAGATTTAAATATCTGTTCCAATTGACACCTGATATTCACCAAACCCTCCCCCCCTTCAGTAGGACACTGTCAAATAATCGTTTGAATATTCCATGATTATGATGACTGAAATAAATACTTAACGATGAAGCTATCTCATATAGTATTGGGTGATTATTATTATTATTGTTTCCTTTAATGCCTAAAGGAACATAGGGCTTCAGTCGTGCGTCTCCATTGCCTTCGGTTCTCTGCTAGAGCCTTCACCTGGCTCCAAGTCTGCCCACACGCTTTCATCTCCTCTTCACATGACCTCCTCGAAGTCAACCTTGCAGTGACGACCAACTCGCCGCTTCACAATCGGTTCCTGCTGTGTTGGTTCGCTCATTGCCAGAGATCTCTGTTGCTGATCTTTTCTGGCCCGCCATCTGATCTTGAGTGGTATTGAGCGAAGACAACTGTTAATGAAGGTGTGTAGTTTGTTTGAGATGCTCTTTATGACGCACTGGGCGAGTCTCTGATCCGTAAAGTAGCACTGACTGGATTTCTCATTGGAGTTGAAAATCCGGATGTTATTTTTGATTCTGAGTGCTGTTGACCTCCACACAGACTTGAGAGTAGTGAAAGCTTGTCTTGCTTTTCCGATTCTTGCTTTGATATCCTCGTCAGTTCCGTTCTCCTGTAGTTGAAACGATGCTTCCCAGGTAGGTAGGTAAAAGAGGTTGTTTCTTTCAGGTCCCTCCCATTTATGCTGGTTGATTGTTGTCTGTTGTTGTTGTTGCTGTTGGTGGTGTTGTCCAGGAATCTTCATCAACACCTCTGTTTTCTCTATGTTCACCTGAAGTCCTATCTTTGATGCTTCTTCTGCCAACTTGTTGCTTTTCGCTTGCATATCTTCCAGTTTGTGGGAAATCAGACATATATCATCGGCGTTGTGAAGCGGACTATTATTGCTGCAATAGGTGGTGAAATGGAAATATGCATTGCAGCAGAGCTGGAACCAATGGCCACCGAATTACTATAGCCCGATGCCCAGTCACATGCAGTTCGGAGACCCAACTGAGTTGGAAGCAGCGAAGCAGATTGCTAACTGATCGTGAAAATATCTGAGGTGGTGATGTTTTTTTCATCCTACTTTGTTCCAGGTGGGAAATAGGATTTCAAACTTTGAAGTTTCAGTGGTGACGGTGTTGTATTTACGGAGTGAGACTGCTAGCCATACAACCAACTTTCTCTCTTTTTCAGGGCTTACAATCGCCTAGTGAACTGGTTGTGAGGGTTCAGGAGTGCATCGGCCGGGAGTCGAACTCGTACTTCCCGCGTGACTGGATAGCATTATACTACTGATAAAATGAGAGGCATTTGTTAAATTGAAGGTCTGATACATCAATATACCCTCATTCTATTGTTCTAAACTAGTTCGAACAAAATAAAAATCATATCTCAGCAAATTTAGCATACAAACTCTTACTACTCACAAGTAGTTTCAGTCTAATTCCAATAGTTTGGTAAGTATATTATTTCATACACTAGAGCATTTGTGGCAATATCCACTCGCGCACCTCACAAAACTTGGAATGAAGACACCTTCTCTCCATCTTTCAGAAAAGAAAATGAATACTCACATAACGTGGATCACATTTAGCGAAGAAAACCTCTACTGGACCAAAGAGCTGCAGTATGGAAGTGTAATGTTCGGGAAGTTTACCAGAGATTAGGCTAATATGGATTTTTCTATAGTTTGGTTTGTAAGGATTAGTTATGTTTTACGAGTTGATCACGGACTGATATCAGTTAGAGAACCATTGAAAACCAGGGAGTACTGGACAGCTGCTGTTTCATCCTAGTTTGGGAATCATCGGCAGTACGCACCCACTGGGATTCGAACCCAGGACCTTCCGGTTACAAGGCAAGCTCGTATACCATTCAGCCACTGGGACCCGATCCAATGGCTCGTGAATTCTAACTTATACCAATTCGTGATTTTTAGCGCAACCCCAACTATTGTCGTTGGTGGGAAATCCATCCACACACGTGACTATAGTTGGGGTCGCGCTAAAAATCACGAATTGGTATAAGTTAGAATTCACGAGCCATTGGATCGGGTCCCAGTGGCTGAATGGTATACGAGCTTGCCTTGTAACCGGAAGGTCCTGGGTTCGAATCCCAGTGGGTGCGTACTGCCGATGATTCCCAAACTAGGATGAAACAGCAGCTGTCCAGTACTCCCTGGTTTTCAATGGTTCTCTAACTAATATGGATTTATTTTATTGTTTAAACAATAGGAGTATACCGAGTGCTACTGAGAAGGAGTGAGTGTTAGATGGTTATTACATCACAATCTGGAACTTTTCACTAGTCACACATAAAAATTTTAAAAAAATACTTTAAATGTTCTAACTATGAGGTATTTTAACAATTAGATGTGGTTTTTTCTTCATTCAATCCACTACACAGAGTTGAGATTCAGAATCAGTAGGAAATTAAAAAGATGGCTAGATACGCACAAGTTTGATGTTTCCCCCTGTCAATACTTCTTCAATTGATTCGCTTCTTCGAGCTGAGGATGTATATTAAGTTTGTGTATTTAGTTAGAAGAATTGCCTGCACCAAGTGGCAAATGTAGTGTGTCTGTACACGGTGAAGATTGTCTCTCAATAAGTGAAGTCGTCTTGTCACAACGGTCTTCGGTGACCTCGATATGTGCTGCCACAGGGTTCGCTATTCGATAACTCTGAAACTAGTTAGATAAAGCGAAGTTGGTGGTCAGTCGATGACATGGTGTAATGCATAAAGGACAGTTGTGTTGGGTTAACGTTTATTATCTCATTACGACTCCCTCCCTATGTGGGATCATGTGGTTCAGTGGCTCAGAAACCAAACTAATGGTGAATATGTTGCAATTTCCTGCTATTTTTTTCCCTCGTGAAGGTAATACGGACTAACGAACGCCCATCAGCATTGACTTGATATGTATGCTTATTATTTGTGTTAGGCGCAACTCATGTTCAAAGTGGATAACACTTTGGCGTTTAAAGCAATGGATGCTAGGGTTCGCATGCCAATGGGAATATCACTACTCATTGTGAATGCAAGTACATCCGGATAACGAGTTCAAAATAGGACAAAACACACGTGTGCTGAGCTGAATTCCACTGCTAGCCATCACGACTACCAATCAATCGGGTAACTTTGAACTATTAACCGTTCCAATTATCAAAGCATCCATTCAAGCAGACTGTATATCAAACTAAATAAAGCTGATCACTACATTCAGATATATATTAACAGGAAACCACAGTTATGCTTGGTTGGTTCAATGGTAGGTTTCTCACCAACCAAGTAAATGGTTTGGGGTTCGATTATTGACCAACGCATACTCGTAAACCTCACTCAATTATTTACCAATTGATAGTAAGTCCGGAAAAGAGATAAGGTGGTTTAGATGTGAGACTGGCAATCTCACGCTGTAAAACAACACCACAGCTACTAAAATGACAAGGAGAAAAAAAAACAGATCTACCTATAAATGAATCAATTCTGAGCTGATATAAAAAAAGCACATCACTTACTTAGTGTGAGTCGTAACACCTTGACTACTGGTATCACAACAAGGCACAGTTTTGTAGCTTTGTGGATTATTTTCTAGGAGAGAAAAAGAAAGTGAAAACAAAAGGTAAGGTGGAGAAAACAACGCAGTCAGGTAGGCATTATCAATAATGAATAAATAAACTGGACTGTATATTCGTGTATTTATAGGAAATGGGGAGGGGGGGGGAGAAAGTTCCAGAACTATTCTCGCCCAACGGTCAAATTAATTAAATTACTAATTGTAATAAATCGAAAGATCGGATAAAAACACACTGTAGGATCATAATCACTGGAAAAATTGACCTGCCTTTGTGCAATTAAGTATTAAAAATGTAGGAATAACGAAATAGACAGTAAGTTAGGATAAACAAAAGTAGTAGAACAGACAGGAATTAAAAAGCATGAAAATAAGATAAATAAACAGGAAGATTGGATGAGAAAGGTAATTAGATAATCGTTATTGATAGGAATGATTGTTTATGATGGCCATGATAGAGACAATGGTTGGACGTATTTCTTTTGAATACATAGAGTGAGTGGGCTTAAACCTTTGGATCGCTAGCGCCTCAGCTATGCCGACTGCTGTATGGCTAGCCTAGGAAACAATTCCTTATCACGAACTACTAACCAGCTCCATCTCTACAAGAGTGCGTCGGTGGCACAGCGGCAGAATGCTCGCCAATCACGCATGTGGTCCGGGTTTCGATCCCCGGCCGACGCACTCGCTAAGCCAGTAATAAGACTGGTAAAGAGGAAAGGTTAGGGATTAGGCTAGCAACCCCATCCCGTAAAAATAAAACCCATGCTACTGAATCTTTAAACCCTCTAGCCTGAAGCCCCATGTTCCACTGGGAACGTAAAGGAATTTTAAAAAATCTCTACAAGAGATCCATCGATGATACTTTTATTATTTGTGATGAGAATTTGGATCTCGGAAACCTACTCCAAACCTTCAATAATGTCCGCCAAAATATCGGCTTCACTCTAGAAGTTGGATTTGAGGCAATCTTTCATTTTCTCAATGTTCCACTGCAAAGAAATGCTGATAACTCGCAGAGGAGATCCATACAAAAAAGAAAGCCCACATGGAAAGGACGGTTTATAAATTTTTAAAGTTGTGTTCCTCTAAGCAGAAAGAGAAACGTCATATACTCTCTTTCCTCGAGGACCCGAGGAACTTTGATAGAAAATGGTTTCCAGCCCAGATTCATAGAAAAGAATCTAAAACCAAAGAAAACGTCTGAACAGGTTCAAGTCGCCCCCAAAGAGATGCTGATGCTTAATCTCGAATTTAAAAGTGATACCGAAGCAGAAATTCTCCAAAAAAGGCTTTCAAAATCTTTCAGTAAAACATAATTCACCACCAGCTTACAGGTAGCATTTTCTTGCAAGAAACTACTCAATTAGCACGTGAAAGCCAGATTGCCGCATTGGACTACTTCAACATGCATATACCAGTTCACTTGCTCGCCTCCAACAGTTGTCTCTATCGTGGCCATCATAAACAATCATTCCTATCAATAACGATTATCTAATTACCTTTCTTATCCAATCTTCCTATTTATTTATCTTATTTTCATGCTTTTTAATTCCTGTCTGTACTACTACTTTTGTTTATCCTAACTTACTGTCTATTTCGTTATTCCTACATTTTTAATACTTAATTGCACAAAGGCAGGTCAATTTTTCCAGTGATTATGATCCTACAGTGTGTTTTTATCCGATCTTTGTGTTTATTAGACTTAGTAATTTTATTAGTTTGACTGTTGATCGGAAATAGTTTTACTATTGCCTATCATCTGATGTGCATATTCCGAGAATAAATAAACACATTCTTTAGCGGGTTGGCAAGTTATATAGAAATGAAGAGACAAAAGGAAGGAAGTAAGTCAGACGGTACTACAGTCTGAATATTGTCACCCATCAACGTTTTATTTCAACACCGATGGTCACTTATCGTTTTACGGTTATTACTATTCATATATTACTTGCATTTCGAGTAGAACACAAGGCTTTATTCACCCACAGCTGGCTTCACAACTAAAAACAAGCTTCCATCTCCTCTTACATGATTTCCTCCCATTCATCCGATTTGTCGCTTCCCATAAGGGTTCCACTCGAAGGCCAACCCCAAGGTATAACCAATCAATCTCCATTTCCTTCTGCACGTTTGTGAAGTAACAGGTTTCTTGGTTACTTCACTGACTATCAGAGTTCCTTGTTGCTTATCCTTTCCAGTTGATCACCTGTCCTAGAAGATCGACCGACAGCAGGTAGGTATTGATGACAGTCTACACCAGGCTGTTGGGAATGTATTTATTGACATGTCAAGTCTCTGAAGCATATAAAAAAATCAACTTGACATTAGCATTAAAAATTCAGATTTTGTTCCTTATGCTTAAGTCCTGGGGGTTTCCACACTGATTTGCGAGTAATGAAGATCTGTGTTGTTTGCCCAATCTGATGCTGGCTGGCTCTGACGTCCTCACCAGGTTTCTTCTGTTATCAAAACAATACTGCTTAGGTAAGTGAAAGCGAAGATCGGGAAAGCAAGGCAAGCTTTCCTTACTCTCAAGAATGTGTGGAGATTAACAGCACTCAGCATGAAAATAAGATCCAGATTTTAAATTCCAATGTGAAGTCAGTGTTACTCACTATACGGATCAGAGACTTGGCGCGTCACGAAGGGCACTTCAAACAAACTACAGACCTTCATCAACAGATGTCCTCGATCAATACTACTCAAGATCAGGTGACCGGCAGAAAAAGATCAGCAACAGGGATCTCTGGGAGCGAACCAACCAGGAACCAATTGTGCGGATTGGCCATACTCTCAAAAAACCATCAAGTGGCATCACACGCTAGGCCATCACTCGAGTGGGAGCCGAATGGGAAGCGGCAAGTTGGTTGTCTGGGGGTAGGGTCACATGGAGGAGGTCAAGCGAAGAAGAGATGAAAGCATGTGGGCAGACGTGGAACTCGGTGAAAACGTTGGCAGAGAATCGAACGCAATGGAGAAGTGCGGCTGGAGCCTTATGTTCCTCTAGGAATTAAAGGAAGGAATAATAATAATAATGAGTGAATGAGACATCTTCCTCTAAACTTCGCTCACTAATAGTGATTGGTATTTATTGTTGGTGAGGTATCATTCGTCGCGATCAATCAATGCATGATATAACATACTACATACATAGTTGGACACTACTCACATCAACCAGTAGTGCTTGCTAGTCAGATCATTGAAGTAATCTAAACACTGGACGGCCGTTTCGCTCGTCTGGAGCTGAGCTCATCAGTGGTGTACAACAAAATTCGAATCAGCACAGAGAGCAGAATTAGTTCAAACCAACCGATTTCTGATTAGCTGCTTGGTTGAACTGGTAATACCTTAAATCGAATTCACAATTTACAATTTGCACAGTTCGAGGAGGTGAAATTTCACCACAGTTTCCTCTGGAAACCGAATTTATTCAGATCACAATACATGTGACCTTCCTGATGCTCAACAAGTAATCAATTAATAGATGTATGACGCCATATACTACTGGTTAACATGTACTTCTGTTTTATGTGAGTGATGTCCAACTACTCATGACTAATAATCAGTACTATACAGCAATTAATAGTGTTCTCTGAGCTGGTTGGTTTAGTTGCGTAGCTTTCGTCGTCCCCTGCTGGACAACATCTCCAGCGCAATATTTAGCACAAAATGAAATGATTTAAATTTCTTCATGTGTGATATAATTGAGTCTCCTGGTAACTATCTTTACATATGTACTGACCATTTTCTATTGACTTGAATTTTAAACGGTCTTCAAAAAGAATGGTTATCCACAAAATTTCATCAAAAAGTGTTTAAAGTCGAATCAAAACACCAACAAGAAACCATCATCAAAGAACACAAGAAAATTCACTCTATCATACATGAGGAATATCTCTGAAATAACAGCTACAATACTGAAACCGTTTGATATAGATATAGCACACAAGTCAGTCAAATCACTTAATTCGATATTGTGCGAACCGAAAGACCGATCCAACAGAAAAAGGAGATAAAATTAATACCATTTACAAAATAAATTGTATGAACTGCAACAGGCATTACATCGGCCAAAGTGGGCGTCCCCTTCGAATCAGAATCCAAGAACACAAATCAGCCGTGATGAAAAGACGTGATATATATTCTTTCATATCAATGCATATAGACAATTATGGTCATCAATTTGATTGGGATAATGTCTAAATCTTAGACAGAGGAAACACTAAAAGTGCCAGGGAATTCCTAGAAGCCTGGTACTCAAACGAAAATGCAATTAACAAACACGTTAATATAGGCGAAATATACCAACTGATAAAAAGTAAATCAAGTGACCAGAAAGTTTAAAATCCAAGTCAATAGAAAATGATCAATACATATGTAAAGATGGTTGCCAGGAGATGCAATTATATCACTCATGAAGAAAATTAAATCATTTCACTTTATGCTAAATATTGCGCTGAAGATGTTGTCCAGAAGGACAACGAAAGCTCCACAACTAAACCAACCAGCTCAGAGAACACTAAAAATTGCAAATCATTCACCTGAGCTACAAATCTTCTCTATTAGTACTATACAGCGTCATGCATCCATCTATCTATGATTGCTATCTTGATTACCATTCATAGGCATCAGACAAATCAGATCATATGTCTTTTTTCAACAGCTCAAAGAACACAAATTACACTAATACCATCTAGGCAAGCTAAAAAACCGTTTCCATCACCTGAAAAAACTCACAAAAGAAGAGAAGAGTAGGGAAAAAGAGGGAAAGAAAACAAAATGTTCCGTTGCTCTAGGAACTTGATTTTTCGTGCTCGAGAACATATCCCACTATGGCTAAGTAAAGATGTAGTTAAAACTATTAACAACTCGATATTAGACCATCTGGTGCAAACCAGTCACAAAACCAGCCAGCGTAGAAGAATCCTTCTCTATAATATACCGGGTGTCTAACAAATTACCGAAATCGTCGAAGCACCACATGCTCCAAACAGCAGAGGCTATTGCAATTCAT